AGGTGGTATCTATCTCCCTGCTCTTTCCTTACAGGCCGGAGGGAGCCTGGCTCTGAACCCCGGGGGCCTGGCTAACCTTGCACTCACAAGCTGTGTGACCTTGGGCACGTCTCTTAACCTCTCTGTGACTCGGTTTCCTTTTCTCTAAAATGATATAGTAATCTCACCAGCTGTAGAATATTTGGTGAGGATCACAGGAGTTGATACTGACAGGCTGCATAGACAAATGGACAATGGCCAGACCATATATAAAAAGCAACTGACTCACAGCCTGAAACCTCCAGTCCAGGAAGACAAATGGTAACCCCCGGAGCAATGGGCCCCTAATGGCCAAGGCTCGATCAAGAACTGCCGGCTTCCTGAGTTTTTTGCCTCTACTTCCAGCTTAGGGCCAATCCCCGAAAGCCAAATGTGCTACCCTCACCAATCACAGAGGTGATATTCATCCCTCTCTAGTTACCCAGCCTCCAGCCTCCCCAGCCAACAGCCTCCAATCAAAACACACCCAAGGACTTCCCTGGTGGTGCAGTGGTTGAGAATCCGCCTACCAATGCAGGGGACACGGTTTCCAGCCCTGATCCGGGAGGATCCCACATGCCGGGGAACAACTAAGCCCGTGCGCCACAACTACTGAGCCTGCGCTCTAGAGCCCGCGAGGCACAACTAACGCAATGAGAAGCCTGCGCACTGCAACAAAGAGTAGCCCCCGCGCGCCACAACTAGAGAAAGCCCGTGTGCAGCAACGAAGACCCAACACAGCCAAAAATAAATAAATAAATTTATTAAAAAAACAAAACAAACCCCACATCCGAACCTTCCCTCTGGTCCTCTCTGAAGCCCTCTCACTCCTGGCCTGTGCGTCTTTGCCAAATGCGAATGTTGCATCTGACTCCCTCGCTAGACCGAGCGCTGCATAAACAGCCCTGGCTGGTTCTCTTCTGGGTGGGCTTTGTGGATTTCCATAATCCATGTAACTACTCTGTAATAAGTAGTCAGAAATGCCAACTTTGGGTCACTCAGCGAGCCTGGGTACGGGCTGTATCAAGCCTGTACCGAGCGGAGGGAGCGGGCACGGCTTCCTCTTGAGGAAGAACTGGGCTCAGGCATCTTCCTTGCGTTCGAAAGTAAGGGTGTGGCCTTCAGAGTGATGTGGCCTCAGCTCCTGTCTCCATGGTGATGTGACTCCCAGCTCAAGGCCACAACAACATCCAAACAATGTCTTGTGTGTTTTTAACAGAGACACAACATCCAAACAACCGTTTGAACAGACACGGGTTTGGGTTTACATTTCTTTTGTTAGTTCTAAAAGTAACACATGCCTGTAGGAAAACACAGAAAAGGGAAGAGGAAAATCCCATTGGCTCCCCCTACCCAAAGGCTACCACGGTTACATTTTTCCCCCTTGACGGTTTACAAGGCTGAGATTGTACCATATGTACATTTTTTTTTCATTTGACATAAATCCAGGAGTGTTTCCCATGTTATTTATTACAAATTCCTTGTAAACAGCAATTCAGAAGCTATAAAATATTCTATCATGTGAATGTGCTATTGGTCCTAAAAAATTATACAATAAAAAGTATCCCAGGGAGGCAGCAACCTGCAGGGCAGCCAGGCCTCTCGCCCCACCGCAGGCCCCCGCGAGAGCGCTGCCCCGGCCCCCCCAGCTGTTCCCAACGTGCTCTTCCCATGAAACTCCCCCTCCCGTGGTGCTGCCAGTCGTGGCCAGTGTCAGCAAGAAGATGGCCAAATCAGCACTTTCTGTGGAGACAAAAGAGCTGGGTGAGAGGTCTATGGGGACAGCCCCCTCCCCCAGTCCTCCCCCCTCCCCCCATCCCCAGGCCTGATGCCCAGGGCATCGTGCCCAGTTCCACCCTCCACATCTACAGCAGAAAACCCCAGTCCAAGCTTCAGCAAGGTAGAAGCGGATCTTCTCTCACGTAGAACGAGCCTGGCAGTAGCAAGGGCAGAACCTCTCAGGTGAGTTGCCCCTTTGCAGCTCCGCCCACCGTTCAGGTGAGGGGAAGCTAGGACTCTGTGATGTTCCCTGCTGCTCTGAATAACTGGGGGGGGGGGAACAGCTGTCAGTGAGGGAGGGGGGCCAGTGGGGGCTGGGGTGGGAGGAGGGCAGGAGAAGGGTGACTGAACCTGCCAGGTGGCACAGGTGAGCTCAGGTGCGTCACAGCAGCACCTGGGTAAATCCCTGTCTCTCTTTAGACCTCAGTTTCCCCACCTGTGCAAGGAGGGGCCAGCACTAAATGGTGGTTTTGTTTCCAACAAGGAAGCTTCTTAGCCCATCCCTGATGGGCTGGTGTCCTGGGAACTTTATCCAGTTTCCTGGTTCCAGAAGACTCAGGTGTTGAAGAAGGGAGAGGTGCCCACAGGGCCCAGGTGCCATTTGATCTGGGTCAACCCCCCTCTCCGGCCCTGCCCCAGTTCGGGCAAATCACACTTTCTGCTACACCCCACTTACCCCCTGTCTGTTCTGAGCTCTCTCTCCTGCCCTAGAACCTGGGTGTACAGACCAGGTGGGCTTCAGGGATACGTGAACTGCCTGAAGCTGTCTGCAAAACTCCGTGTGTGTGTGCACGCACACACACGTGTGCACATACATGTGTGCATGCGTGTATGTGTGTAAGCATATTGCATGTGTCTGGGGAGAGTCCCCATGGATTTCAGAGTTTCCAAGGCATGTGTGGCCCTAAAAACTTATAAGAACCCCTGGCCTGGGCTTCTCCCTTTGTTTTCTGTGCTGTCTCCCCTCCCCAACAGAATTCCAGACCCCCAGCTCTAGCCTGGAACCTCCCAGCCTCCCAGCTGGTCTCTTAGGGCTTCAGCCTGCTCCCATGGGCTGCCAGGAGAACTTTCCTTTTTTTTTTTTAATAATTTTTTTTTTTGGCCACACCTCAAGGCATGTGGAACTTCCCCGACCAGGGATCGAACCCACGCCCCTGTAGTGGAAGTGCGGAATCTTAACCACTGGACCACCAGGGAAGTCCCAGAACTTTCTGAGTAGTTTCTGATTGAGTCCTGTCTGCTTTCTGTCATCAGGACCCCCCTGGCCTTTGTAGCCATCCTGGGCTCCCTTCCTATCCCACACTAATTCCCAGGCAGAATCTTCAGAGGAGAGTAACCTGCAAAAGCCCTGCCCCTTTACTCTTTGTGTTTCCTCCTCTCCGTGAGAGAAGTCCCTGTTAGAACACATTGCCCACAGGAGAAAATCCAAACTCCTAATAGGCACTCAAGTTCTTTTCTAACCCAGCCACTTGAAACAAAGTTAACATTTCGCGAATGCAGGCACTACTTGTTCTTAGCACTTCACCTAGATTAACGTATTCAACCTTGATAACAGCCCTAGGAGGTAAGTGTGTCACTAGCTCCATTTTATAGATGGGGGAAACTGAGGCCCAGAGAGGATTGCCCATGAGCTGGTAGGTGATGGAGCTGGATTCTTACCACTGCACTTTGCCTAAGGTCTTATGTCTCAGTATCAAGACCGTCCATCCCAGCCACATGGAACAATTCACTCCATGTTTCCTGAGCTCAGCCCTCTCCACTCCCTTTCCACCCTGTTGACACCTCCTCCAGAAGCCTGCTCTCCACTGAGCTCATTCTGCACCCTCCTCCTACCTTGGTCTCCAGGTCTGGCTCCCCTGACCAGCGGAGACCTCCTCAGGGCTGGTCCAGTGCCCACACTCCATCATCAATATCATGACCCATTTGCTGAACTGAAGGGAAACACTATCTCCAGTTTATCAGTGGGGAAACTCAGCTCAAGAGGTGAAGAGGACTTCCCTGGCGGTCCAGTGGTTAAGACTCCGCGCTTCCACTGCAGGGGGCACGGGTTCCATCCCTGGTCGGGGATCTGAGATCCTGCATGCCAGGCAGCGTGGCCAAAAAAAAAGAGGTTCATTCATTTCTCAGAGATTATGGATACCAGTGGAGAGATGGTTGGTAGCAACTTAGCAAATTCATCCATTCAAAAAGTGTCATTGAATGTCGACCCTTGGCCAGGCCGTGCACTTATTCACAGGGCATATAAATAAGACTGGGCCTGGTGCCTGCCCTCCCCAGTCTCACTGTACAGACCACACCTCCCACGACACACCCACATTCCCATATGCAAGGGAGATGGAGGTGAATTTGAGATGGGCTTTGAAGGGGAAATAGGATTTGTCAAACCGAGAAAGTGGCGAGGAACAAGCAAGGGCAAAGGAACTGAGGTTAGCTCATCAAGGGGAAAAGGGGGAACAAAGGCACAGAGGCCGACCACAGCCAGGTACCTTGGGTGTTGGGATTCAGTTACTTCTCATCCCTGGACTGCCACTTAGCCTCTGCCCTTGACCTACCTGGGAGGGGGTGGATGGTAGGGGATGTGGGGTAGGCGGGTAGCTATCCCAATCCTCTGACATTGTAGGAGTCAGCTCCTGCCGGGGGAGGATGGTGCAGGGTTCAATCTGTATCCTGGGTACCACTTTTTCCAAACTAGTGTTGGGAGAAAATCACCAAGACATCCGTGCCATTTGTCCCCACCCGTTTTGGCCTCAAGACAGCTCAGTAAGACCTGGAGTTCGCACGTCAGCTACCCTGTCTCCTCCTCATCCCTTCCTGTCCAGTTCAAACGTCACCTCCCCTGTGAAGCCTTCCCGGAAACTCCAGGAACCTCCCCAACCTTCTCCGCAGCTTCCCGAGCTTCCATCTCTCGCAGTGCTCTGGGACATCCTTGTGAGCAGAGCAAGGCTGAAGGATGCTCTTCCGCCAAACACGACTGAAGCACCAATAGGTGCCCAGAGCTGAGGTAGGGGATGGCGCGCTTCGGACGCCCCACGATTGACTGCCGCTGGAAGCGGTGGACAAGGTTCCACTCCGTTTTCCGCCCGCCCGCCCCCTTGCGGCGTGGCGCCGCAGCCTGAGAAACGCGAGGCCGCGCGAGCGCGCGCCTGACCCCCGCCGCGCCAGGCCCCGCCCTCCCGCGCCCGCCCTAGCGCCGGCCCCTTTTGTTCCCTCCTGGAGCCCGGCCGCTCGCTCCGCTCCCCCTCAGCTCCGCTCCGCTCGGCCACCGGGAGCGCAGGCGGCGGCCGGGGCTGCCAGGGTCAGCGGCGGCCGGGGCTGCCAGGGTCAGCGCCTCCCGCCTTCCCGCCGCCGCCCGGCCGGCCGCACGCGCGACGCGAGGCCCGGGCCCGGAGCGCGAACGCAGAGCCCCGGGCGCCAGGAGGGGCTGCAGCCGGTGGGCAGCGGCGCGCGGGGAGGGGCTGCAGCATCCTCTGTCCCCGCGGCGCCCGGGCCGGGAGAGGAGGGGGCCGGGTGCCCGGCCACCCGCCGCTCAACCTGATGCTGGAAGGGCGAAGGTAGGAGCAGCCGGAGGGACCCCGAGGGAGGGGGCTCGATGGGCAACAAAGGACCGAGGGACGCGGGAGGCCGCGGTAGCCCCGGCCTGGTCCGAAGCGGGGCGGCCGGCCCGCAGGCATTTTCGGGGCGTGGGGGAGGTCTAAGGGTCGGGGGCTGGCGGGTGGGCGTGAGCGGGAGCTGGTCCTGGGTGCACCCCCAACTTCCCCGTCGCCTGTAGGCGAGGAGGGGGCGCTGCTGGTGTTGGCGGACCCTTCCCGGGCTGCGGGTCCTCTCGGTGAAGGCATCACCGGCACCCTCGGTGCCCCCAACAGGGCTTCGGCACATATACTGGGGAGCCGCCCGTTCCTCCTCCCAAGGGCAGCGCTGGGCGGCTGAACGAGCCGCGGGGCTCTGGGCTCACAGGCCCGGCGGAGGGGGGTGGGGTGAGGGTGGTGGTGGGGTGAGCCTGGTGGGCGCGGCTACGCAGCCCCAGGATCTGGGAGGACACGGAGCCCCCGCTCCGCTGGCCGGGGTCGCCTGGCCAATGCCCTTTGCACAACTTGGTTGAAGTGCATGGCGGAGGGGGTTAGGGGGAGACTGGGGTGGGGCGGCTTTCCGCAGGGGTGCCCCCCCCTTCAAGCTGGCGCTCGTGGCTGGTGAGGCAGCACATTTTCTGCCCTCCCCACAGGGAGGGGCCGTGGCCGCGCGGAGGATGCTTCGCTGGGTCTCCAGGGCCCGCCCGTTTGGGTCCTTCAGGCAGGGCCTGGGCGGGGCGGGTGCCCACTGGGCACTGCCATGCAAGTCCCAGCCCCACCCTGGATAGGAGGGGGCACCTTGTGGGGAGTCACACACCCGGCTGCGAATCCCCCAACCTCTGAGATGCCGCCTCTCCCTTCTGGGTGAGAAGTGGCAGTCCAATATTGGTGGGGGCTGCCCTCTGTCCTGTAAGATGCCCTGGGAGGCTAGTGGGGGTGGTGCTGGCTTAGGGTTGTGGGCAGAGGAGGGGGAGGGTGCAGGGAGTACCACGTGGGGCAAGACTCCCAACCAGTTGTAATGTAAACAATGAGCTCTTCATTCATCCAGCTGCTGTCACCTGGCCCTGCACTGCCAGGGGCTGACAGGTACACAGGACTGGGGCCTCGCTGCTCCCACGGAGCACAGCCCAGCAGCCTTTGATGGGTGCAGTGATGAGGGAGCTGGGAGCACAGAGGAGGGACGCCTGGACGGTGGGGTGGAGCAGGGAGCTTGATAGAGCTCACTGTAGAAGTTTGCTGTCAGGATGCCAAAGGGGGCTTGAGGGAGGGGAAAGAGCATTGGCAGGGGATAGGAGTCAGAAGAGGAGGCAGGAGGCCTGGTGGCTGGTGGCTGAGAGGAGCAGCAAAGGATTTGGGTGACTGGGGCATGAGGTTTAAGGCAAGGGAGGTTCTGTTGAGGGAAGGGATTGTTCTGTCCCTCCTACTTTCCCAGGTGGGGCTCCTTAGATGCCCTTCTGCATAAGCCCTGGAAGCACGGGCATCTGTAGTGCCTGGCCTGGGAGGGGTGTTGGGATACAGGCTCTGGGACAGGTGGAGGGGGTGGGACGGAGAGGAGTTTCAAAGGCAGAAGAGTCTGGCGGAGGAGACCTGGGGGGACCCTCAGCACACAGGACTGTGTACCCGTAAGCCCCCAGGTGCAGCCAGCAGGCTGGGAAGGAGGTGCCTGGAATTTGTATCCAGAGCCTGAAATGTCAAGGGGTGCCACCCACAGAGGCACTAATCCCTTTTCAGCATCTGCTGTCCACTCTGGCAATTAAGAGTTTGGATGCTGGAGCCTGACAGCCTGGGTTCAAAGCCCAGCCCTGCCACCTACTAGCTGTGTTACCTCAGACAAGTCACTATACCTCTCTCTGCCTCAATTTCCCCATCTATAAAATGAGGATACTTAAGGTATCTACCTTTTAGGGTTATTGAGAGAATTGAATGGATGGATGTGTGCAAAGTGTGTACTGTGAGGGAGAGAATGCCCGGTGTTTGTTGTCGCCGCTGTACTAGGTGGCCCTCCGGCCTCCACCCACACCCACGAGTGGCCCATCCCCTCCCCAGCTGTTTGTCCACTGTCAGGTAGTCCTGCCTTTAGCCCTGCCCAAGGCCCTGCTGTTCTTTGCTTCAGTGCAGCCTCCTCCCTGGGCTGTTCTCTCTGCTCTGGTCCAGCCTCCCTTGGTGATGGGAAGGCCGCCATCCCCACAGCCCTGGCCATCCTTGCTCCTTCTGCTCTGGTCCACGATGTGGGGGACAGCTTTCTCTTGACCTTTCCTCCCTGGCCTTGCCACCCTAAAGATTGATCCTTCCCTCTTGATGCTGCCTACCCTACCTCTGCTTCAACACCCAGAGGAGAGAAGCTGCGTTCTTCACCCCTCCTGGTTCCCTGCTATCTTAGTCTGAGCTGTCCTAACAAAATACTAGGACTGGGTGGCTTATCAACAACACATTTATTTCTCACAGCTCTGGAGGCTGGAAGTCTGAGAGCAGCATGCCAGCATGGTTGAGTGAGGACTGTCTTCCAAGTCGCATTTGTATTTTTGTATCCTCACGTGGTGGAAGGGGCTCGGGAGCTCTCTGGGGGTCTCTTTTACAAGGGCACTAATCCCATTCATGAGGGATGCACCCTCATGACCTAATCACCCCCCAAAGGCCCCACCTCCTAATACTGTCTCCCTGGGGGGGGTAGGATTTCAACCTATGAAGTGGGGTGAGGGGGGACACATTCAGACCAAAGCACCTGCCCGGTGGTCCTTGGGGAGAATGTCAGCCTTTGTATAGGTTAAAAAAACCAAACAAACCCAATGCATATTGAATGCTTACTCTGCCAGGAACTGTTTGAAGCTCTGAGTGCCTGTATTAGTTTGTGGATATCTTGATACCATTGCCTCCATTTTACGGATGAGGAAATCAAGATGTGGAGAGGTTTCCCTGTTTGCTCTCCACACATTTGTTAAACACCTATTGTGTGCTTGGGAGACCTGCTTCCTTCCCCCACCCCACCCACCTGCCTACCTGGTTCATTTTCCGAAAGCGAGGTTTTGGCGGTGCCTTCCTCAAACACCTCCACCTCATTGGCTCAAGTACAAAGTCCAGACACCCCCAGCTGGCTGTGCCCTGCCTTCCCAGCAAGGCTCTACCCAGACAGGCCTCACCTTTTATAAACTGACCAGTGACCCTGGCTTGATGGGCAGGCCTGGCCCTGAGCTGGAAGAGGGGGGAGGGCCCTGACACACGTCTTAGGATTTTGTCGCAGGGAACAGGAACCGCCTCCAATTAGGTTAAGTGAAAGGGGAGTTGAGAGGAAAGGAACTTTGCAGGAAACAGTTGCAGGCAGCCTGGCTCGGCCTGGCTCCCCCAGGACCCGGGAAGCTGGCAGGCAGCCCCTCCTCCGACTTTGCTCTCTCTGGACTGTGGTTTCATTTTCTCATCCTCTCCCAGTGCCTCTGTCCCTTCTCCTATCCCTGTAGGCTGCTCTCTCTGGATTGCCGGCATGGCCGCCCTGAATGGTGGCTTCGGCTTGAGGTCCCAGGACCACCCAGGGCACTCCCCTCAGTCTCTGGGCGCCTAAGAGCCGGATGGGCCCAGCCTGGGTGAGGGCACCCACCCCATCCCCTCCGCTGGTCGGGGCAGGCCACGTGGTCTCTGGGGCTGGGAGTGGAAGACAGTGCTGGGCACAGCTGGTACAGTGTCAGCTGCAGTTATGACGCGGGGTGTGTGCTGGGGGAGAAGGGGTGAGTGGTGGTCTCGCTGTCCCTGGCAGCCCACCGCAGGCCTCCCGCCCCCCCCGCCCCGCCCTGGGCTCAGGGGCAGAGGATGTGCTCTCCCTTCAGAGCCTGGGAACTGGTGTGGGGGGGTGGCGATTGCTGGCAGGGGGCCCCCCCGTCCCACCACTCCTTCCTCTGGGCTGTGCTACCAGGCGCACAGAAACAGTAACACAGAGCTCAAGTTTTCAGAGGAAACGCTTCAAAATGATAATGAAACATTACCCCTCTGAATAGAAAGTAGAGCATATCAGGTGGTTTTTATTAACAAGGCATAAATTTGGGGCCTCGTGCACTTACCGGCTTCCGTCTTCCCGGAGCAGCTCTGGCTCCATCCCTGGAACCTACCTATGACTCCAGCTGCAGCCCAGAGAGACAGACGCCCACTCCTCATTCACTTCCATCTGTGCCTTTTTGGCCTCTTCACCCTGAGAGGGGGGAATTTGAGGCTCACACCGAGGGCCTGGTTTTCTAATCTCTCCTCCCTAAGGGGGTGACCCTGTGGTGTCCAGGGCTGATCTGCTCCTGTTTGCACCCATCTCCTCCCCGGGGTGCCCCAGTCCTGCCCTCCAACCTGCAGCATCGAGGGTGATGGCTGGGGGGAAGCCAGCCCCTCGCTGTGGGGGGAACACAGTACACCTTAGTTTTGGACCCTGCCTTTGAGAAGCTTTTGCTGAATTAGGAAGACATCAGCCCCCTTCCTGAAAGTGTAAACGACACCAGCATCTTTGAGGAACATTTTAAGGCCAGAGCAGAAGAGCCTCCCTGCCCAGTGGGGTCATTGCCCCGGGAGTGGTTCAAGTCCCAGCGAGGGTTGCTCGGGCAGGGCACCGGGTGTGTGGGAAGGCTGAGGAGACGGGGGAAAAGGACTGGGCTGCGTCCCGAAGGGTGGGTGGACTTGGGTAGGTAGGGAGTGCCTTCCATATGGGCACAGGGAGAGAAAAGGGAAGGAGAAGTTTGGGTGGCAGGGTGTCGAGTGTCCGGCGGCGGGGGAGGTTCCGCGTGGAGCCCACCATTCTTCCAAATCCACTGTGAAGTCAGGCATCTGGTTGTCGGACCCTGCGGTGAAGGAGGGAATGACGTTTGGTGTTTCCCGATTTGTTTTTTTTTTTGCTACCTTGTGCCCTGACCCCGCTCCTGCCGTTCCCTTTTCTGCTCTGCCGTAGACTGTGCCCTGCTTAACGTCATCTGCTTGTAAGTTCGCTCTGTCAGCTCCCATTCAGCTTCTTTCCCATTCAG